TCAGTTGTCTTTAGAACGGTTATCATGACAATCATTATTATTCCGAAAATTAACTCTTGGATTTCTAGTGATATTTGTTTCTTCTTTATTCCTGTCTTTGATTCTTTTCTTCAATATTCACAGTGTGGCATAATAATATTTTGGCTTGTATGATGCGTGTCAAGCCTCAAAACTGATACATATCAAAGGGACTTCCTCAACTGCCACGAATTTGATGCTCAACTGCGGCTTATACTTTATCCAGAAAAACTGAAAATTTAAGTTAGTTTTTTGGATATTTCTCGAGCTAAAATTTAGTGATTCCAAGATTGTGTGCAAAGTATTCTGCTCACAACTTTACATCAATGAATAATGTATTTCTAACAGGTGCTTTACGAGTCCATTGACAAACTTTTTTTWAAAAAACTCACTTCAATTATCAATCACATAATTCCGCTTGGAAATCTCAGATAATCTAGAAATTCCAAGTATGAAAACAACTTTTCGCAGAGAGACACTAAAAGATTTAGATTGATTAGACGGATATTATCTGGAAATTCGAGTACGCTTGGCAGCGAGGAGACTGGGTACGAGCTCTTATGCCGCTCGATACCAAAGTGGCGTCTATTCGAGTCTCGTTACTATCTGTACTGACACGAAGTATTTTTACCTTCTTTTAGCCTCGAAAGAGCTAAAGAATCCCAGCAAAGGTTACGAAGGGTAAGGTTAATGCATAACTTGTTAAATGGGTATAAATTACGAAATGTAACTCTAATATTGACGGTGGCGAAGCGAGTGAAATATTCAGAGAGTTTCTGTGGACTTTAACTTGGTTGGTACTTTAACAGCGGGTTTGAAGTATTACAGTTTTAAATTTCTGTGTTTTCATCTATAGTTTGTTGTCAATTTAATCAGATAATGTTAAACAGTTTTAATATTTGAAGTAATACCAGTTCGTATTGTTTACCGCGAATTTCTCGACCAGCGCGGCAAGTTTGCACATTGGAGCGACCTCGGCAATTTTATGGWCTGAAATAAGAGATTATTTATAACGTAGCTTTATTTAAATCCTCAGCTCTTCAGCGAAATTATAAGCTTATCAGTTKTAAAACTTGCACAAACAAAATCCCTTAAACGCTTGAAATTCAAGTTGATCTGGCAGTGTATGCAAATTAGGATATTTTACGTTTGATTCTGTTGGGATTTGGATCGTCATTTTATTAAATGGATTTTGTCTGGATTTTAAAAATTCGTTCGCATCATAAGTTTTTAATTCGAGCAATTTGGAAGGAAGGCTATAGCTGACTGAATTCACTCAACAAATATGTCGACTAATCCCGCTAACGGAGCCGCTATCATTTCTTGCTTTGAATATGGCGTTCTTTTGAAAGTACGTGGCTCTATTCTTGAATTATGAATAGATATTTGTTCGACTCTAAGTTACGAAACTGACAATACCCGCGAAAATTTGATTCGTCGACAGTGTAGAATTTGCAGTCGAGCGAGCAATCTCGTCTTCAATATTTATTTTCAGCCGTCGTTTGTATTTCTCACAAGCTTGTCTTGTTTGTTTTATATAACCAAGCTTGTGAGTCATGACATGATCGAACGTCTATAGGAAACCATGACAACCAACTCCGTAAGAGAAAATTTCGGTATTTTTCGATTTTCTTCCATTCCCATTTTTGACACTTTGAGTTAAGGTCACGMGCCAGGGAACTTTAKAAAGCTGTAAGATTGAATTCCAGCAATTTGTTGTGTTATTTATATTTTATTATGTTTTTGGCATCACGTTAACTTCAATTCTTTCCTCTTTGTATTTTCAAGAATCGTTTGCACATAATTTGATAATTGTTACAAAGTTTGGCACATTTCTTTCAAATCTCAAATGAAGTTAGTGTTGGTTTTTTAAATCATGGCTTATGATTTGTTAAGTTTTAATTAAACATGTTTTATCTAACTAGAAGTGTTTTCAAACAGATGTTTTAAGCATATATAATTTGATAGAGGTAAAGACTATTTGTTGCTATGTAATATATGCAACACAAGTTGGGGATTTGTAAGTGCAGCAAGGGACAGTAAAGCCTTGGCAAATCAGGAAAAATCTTATGCTGATTTACAAACTCAGTTTGTCTTGTTGATTGTTTTAAATGACAATAATATCTAACAGTGTTTATTTATATATTTCCACTGTTTTGCTGACTATTTTACGCAGGGAAGRTTCATATTATGATTTTCTTTTCCAAGGTTGCTCTAACTGTCTACCATCTTGGCAAATATGCCAATGAACACTTGAACTTTACTGGTTCATCAGTTTTGAAGGAAGAGTGCTTTAGCCATCTCCTTGAAGTAAGTTTATTCTTTGCATAACTTCTAAACAACTGTATAATTGCTAAAAATCTTTCACTTGTATTGTTTCATTATATAATTGGGCCACCATGGAGGACCTATTTTGTAATTTCTTTGCATCGCAAAACCTTKATTTCTTTWTTTACTTTCCCCTTAACCCCACAAAATCTTCATCAGTTGGTTTGGATTATTTACTGGGAAAGGTATCCGTGTTCTTTGCATCGCAAAACCTTTATTTCTTTATTTACTTTCCCCTTAACCCCACAAAATCTTCATCAGTTGGTTTGGATTATTTACTGGGAAAGGTATCCGTATATAAAATGCAGAAAAACATGAACTGTATAGCAAAACCAAACCTGACATCTGCCGACCTGTATAGGTCACCATATGGGGTTATTAATCAGGCATGGTGCTGTTTATCTGAGAGTCCTGCTTATACATGTCCAGTAAATGTGGCATCATTGCCCACAATATGTCAKAATTGCATGCAAGCCATAGTTACTGATAGTTTGCAAAGAATTAAATTAAGAGAAGAAATTCATTAATGGAGCTCCTGAATCTTATTGATGATAATTGAATCATTGTATTTATTTTTCCTATTTTAGAATAACCTGCCCGAGYTGCCTGTCTTAGAGGGTGCTGATTTAGGCAGGCGAGCTTCTCAGTACGAAATATCACAAGCACCAATACTAGAGACAACACCAGAAAAAGACAAAAAGGAAAACACAGAGATTGTTACAGAGACTGGRAATTTCAGTGCRAAACGAAATACTTTTCAACAGCTAGAACAAGAATCAATCAAAGTAAGATAGCTTACTTGTGTTCTCTATTGCTGTTTAAATACTTAATTCATTATTTACTATCCATTATGCSACATCGGCATGTATGTCCCTCCATATCTGTCTATTGTTGCATCCCTTCAACTGTCATCTCTGCTGTTAATGTTCTCCAGAAGGTTGTTTAAGGACTGTACTGCTTTCATTTTCTCCTTTCAAGTCCAGTGCAAGGTTGCTTTGTCATTCTTATTTCTTCTGAGAAATCTCCTCCTGGTATCAAAAAGGCCAGGAAGTTCTAAACCACCACACTGATCCCTTCTTAGCAGCTTGTGGTCAGTGTGCTTGACTGTACTAAACTGATCATTTGTTGATGTCAAGCAGCAGGCTGAAGAGGAAGCACTGCAGCGTAGTCGTCGCAGGTCCTTCTCATCTGGTGACAAAGAAAACGAATTTGATTCAGAAGAAGCTTTAAAAAGAAGAAAGAGTCTTGGTAGTAAACCAGTTTGGAAAGAAGGAGATAGTCGATACAAACATAAAAGAGAAATTCTTGGTGGTTGGAAGGTACGAGATGATGTGCCAGTGTACTATATAAATTTGTCCCTGCCCCACCACCCCACCACCCTGTTGATGTCAAGCAGCAGGCTGAAGAGGAAGCACTGCAGCGTAGTCGTCGCAGGTCCTTCTCATCTGGTGACAAAGAAAACGAATTTGATTCAGAAGAAGCTTTAAAAAGAAGAAAGAGTCTTGGTAGTAAACCAGTTTGGAAAGAAGGAGATAGTCGATACAAACATAAAAGAGAAATTCTTGGTGGTTGGAAGGTACGAGATGATGTGCCAGTGTACTATATAAATTTGTCCCTGCCCCACCACCCCACCACCCCACCACCCCATGTCTTCCTCCACTCCCCTCCCCCCTCCACTCCTCCCCCCAATTTTTCAGGTTGTGTTTCAAAGTAGAGAAAGTTCATATCCAACCATTAGTAGTGGGGTTTCAGAGGAAATCAAGTAATAGAGATATTGCCAAAAACATCTGAGAATGGAAAAGTTAACGTCAATACCTAGAGGTCTCATTTACTTCTGTCCCGTTCTGTAAACCTAAAGTTAACACCGGAACTAAAGAGTAAAATTTGCTTTTGCAATATTAGAGTTTTAGCAGTATATGCACATGCTAAGAAATACGTTGTTTCTAATATTGGAACTGTTGTTAATTAGGATCCAATAAAAAGTAGACGTGAGCGTATTGAAAACAGCGGCTCTACAGACGGCTCACCACCCAAACATCAAATTAGTATGAGATCACCTGGAGACTTGCAAAAAAAGAAATCAAAATTTGAAGAAATGGAACGAACTGCATCAGAGGTATGTTTACTGCTTTCACGATGGTTTCGTTTTCCTGATGGACCGGGGGAATTCAGGAACAGGATAGTGATAAAAGTGTACATGAAATGATGTTCCTGAGATAAACACGTGATTTCAGGCTCTCTTTGTGTTGGCTGAAAATGCTACGTTTTTATTGGCGCGATTGAGGTATTTTTTAAATTATCCAGAGCTAAAACTAGCGTCAATGGTCTTTTCTAATAGTGTAACGTAAATGATTTTTATACCACAACTGTTTCATGRAAATCATGTATTAGTTATCACCTCTTTTACTGACTGTCGTGTTTTAACGACAGGAAGCTGACGTACWTCAAGGAAAACGGACTCGACCAAAATCATGGGTCGGTGGRGACATCAGGTCGCGATCTGTATCCTTAAAGGATAAAACAAATAAATTTGAAGATATGCAACGACAAGCAGACAAGGTAGACTGCAGTTTTTGAAAGTGTTCAAACCATCATATTGCACTTCACTGTTATATAGAGTATATATTGTTTGATACTATTTTAATATTATCATCCTCTTCTATTCTCAGTTCTATTCTATTCTCAGTTCTATTCTATTCTCAGTTCTATTCTATTCTCAGTTCTATTCTATTCTCGGTTCTATTCTATTCTAATTCTCAGTTCTATTCTATTCTATTCTATTTCCCATCCATTCAGTATTTATACATCATTCTCAATCAATCCATGCGTCCAATCGTTCGTAGGAAAGCGCCGTACTGCACGGTGAATTACGTATGCCTGCAGTTAACAATGACGTTAAGAGACACGACAGATCACCCGTTTTAACTGTTGGGGCTGTTAACTTAAAGGATAAGCACAGTAAATTCGAACGACTTGACAAAGCTGCCCACCAGGTACTGCAACACTTGCTGATTGATTTTGCTACAAACTGCTGTGTGTTCTAGCTTAAAGACTGATAAAATGATAAATATAATGAATCGGATTGAATGAACAGTCTAGTAAATAGGATGAATGAATGTAAGCGGGTGAGAGACGAACGAATTAGAATAATTTTTGAGGAAATTGCTACTGAAGTCCTGTATATCATTGTTGGAAGGAATGTAAGCTTGGATTAATGTTTAAATACACTTACTGTCATCAATTAAATAAACACATAAATGGGAAAGGACTTTGGAAGAATGGATGGGTGATAATGGAAAGATGAATAGTATGATGATATGAGTGACTATAAGWAATGGATGTACAGTTGAATACACGACACTCACTATCAATTTACATGCTCTCAATTCATTGACAATGGACCATTTAGAAAGCCCGCCAGTAATACATRTRATYTAGCGCAATGRACGGTTACATGCTTGCTCACAAAATACAACACGGAACGTGCCTAGGACGACACGGCTGCACGGGACTGCTGGCTTTCCAAAAGGTGTCTCAGCAGTYTTGAGGCCAACAACCTTTTTATTTTCCGAGTTTCAGTCGCTTTAGATCATCATCCCGACTTGATATATGGAATTTACTTTAAACCTCTGAAGGGTTTGTTGTTTTTTYTAACTTGCAGCAAACACTAGTCCTGCAAGGCAGACGAGATGAAGTTGAAACWGATTTCACCCACGATATTGGTGACAAAGTCAATGGACCAATATCACTACCTGGAGCAGCTGACCCAAAGCTTCAAGACAAGAAAAAACAGTTCGAAACCTTGGATTACAAAGCACAAAGGGTAATGCGAATATAATCACTTTTTATTAGCTATTTTATTCCGCTGAATATGTCTTTTTTTTTAAGTTTATGAATTTTATCATTCTGTTGATGCTAAATGTCGTTCTTACTTATTGTAGTGACATAAAACTTTATCATAATTATGCTAGCATTCCCATGCGGTTTTGATATCACTGAATGTGTTGTATTTGTTCCATAGGAAAGCACAATTCTCAGACTGCACAGCGGTAAATCGTTTGATGATCCGAACCAGAATCCAATCCCTCTGAACACTGCATCAAGAAGAGCTGATCCAAAGCCAAGGCCAAAGTCRAATATCTTTGATTATCARCGTTTTCCYCCAGTAGACATCGACAGAAGAGAAATTCTAAACGAATCAGTTCAGCCCAAAGAAATGGACTTCAGCGAAAGCACTCCAGAGCAATGGAATTCGTTCGACGATCATGGYTCGTCCAAGAGTGTTTCTCCGACACCTCTACCACCAGCCAGRGGTGACTCCTTGAGGTACAATGCCAACAAACAGGACGAAAACGTCAGAAAATCTGACAAAACACCATTATACTCGTCTTTTGCTGCCCAGCAAGACCCTTCAAAAGATAAAGGACAAAAGAACAAGGAAATGAAATACAAGGAGTTCATCTCGTACCCAGTCGTCAAACAAAGAGATCGTGTAGATCGTTACAACGCTGCTATACAGGGACTTTCCAAAGAACCGCCACCTAAGAACATCACCACGGGGGAAAAACCAAGAAAGAAATCYCTCAATAGCAATGAGTGGATCAAACAYAAAGCTCAAGAAGAACCAGAGATAGAGTTACCCAAACGCCAAATCAAAAAGATTTGGGATCGAGAACCAGATGCTGAAGAAGAGGAAGTAGTAAAGAAACCTCTTGAACCAGTTGACACATCTTTTGATGAAAGAAAAATCTCAACTCATGTAGCCAATGTGCAGAATATGAGCTATAGAGATTTCACAGCAGCACCGAAGAACCTTGCAAAGGATCGTGTCATTTCACGTGCTCCTGTTGTAGAGTTGGTTTCATCCAGGAAGAAAAGCGAAAATCGTAACGAGCCTTTCAGTAATTTCGCGCAGMCAGCGAGTGACGATGTGAAGAACACAACAAAGAAGAAATCCATGTCGTATCATGACTTTGCCGTGCCTCCTCCAAAAGTRGAGTCAAAAGCTGATGCCGCTGCAAAGGCYCAAAAAGTCAAAGAAATGACCAGAAAATTCCAGGATCTCGAGGCCGAACAGAACAAGCCAAAACCAGCGGGACCACCAGGACTTAAGTCCCTCGTCGACAGAGATGAGCTTGTGCGTTACGAAAGAGAATCTCGCGCCCGCAGTTGGTATGGCGTWGACGATGAAGAGTTCGAAGGAGCTACTAGACGGCGAGTTCGACGATGGTCAGATTATGAATATGAAGAGGGAGACAAAATGAGGGACGCACCAAGAGAGATGCAAAGTTAGTAATTGCACTTATTTTGATTTTTCAAAATATTATTTTGTTGTTAGTATATTTATTTTTTCGATTGATTAATTGATATTTATTGTTTATTTATGTTATCTAGACGGTGATGCAAATAATTCTGAAGTGCATCCTAGTGTTTTTGATGAACTGGAACCCTACTGGAAGCCAATGGAGCCTGAACCAGTTCGAGTGCAAGAAACCAGACCTGTAGAAAGTGCCAAAGAGTCAATAGAACCTGAACCCTACCGGAAGCCAATAGAGCCTGAACCAGTTCGAGTGCAAGAAACCAGACCAGTAGAAAGCGCCAAAGAGTGGTATGACATTCGTCCACCTCCTCCCGTCCCCGTGGCTCCTAAGGAGACAGAAGTACAGCCTGAAGTCATGAGGCCTGTCAAGTCAATACTCAGACATGATCCACTGACGACGGTTAACCATTACGAACCAMGACAGCCAGAACCAAGACAGCCAGAACCAGCGCATGAAAGATATCAAACAGAAGCTCAACCACAACCTAATCAAACTCGAACTCAACCTCGGGCTGTTTYATCACATGGACGAACTGTTGGAAGTCGTAGCTGGAATGACTTTGAAAGTGCACGAAGGAAAAAGTCTATGGAACTTTTGGAGAATCGACCAACAGCAAAGCYATATGAGACTAGAGATACAACCAAGGTCGAAAGTGAACCGTACAAATTGAAAAGACCTACTGACTACTTGACAAAACATCACTTTGAACAAGGTATTTTTTGAACTAATCCCTTAATTAAATTAGTGGTCGGCCCATTCTTCTATATTACTCAATATAAGTGAAAATATTTTTCTTTTTTATATTTCGGTGGTTCGAGTTGAGTCTGGACTACAAGTGCAGCTAAACTATATTCTGATTTCATTTTGTTCAAATTCCCCCTCCCTGCTAGCCTGTGTTACATCCGGAATTTCTGTCTAATTTGCCTTTTTTCGGGAATTATTGGCTTTCCTCTACAATTTTCGTCCCTCAGTAAACGGGAAAAAGCCAGCTGCACACAGGGAAAGTTCACACTGAATAATCACATGTTATCCTGACTTGCAGCTCCAAAACCTACAAGGCAAACAAACCAGCAACCTGAGCCACTGGAAGCCCATCAGTACAGTTACGAGTCACAGCCCGAAAACTCACAAATACCAAATCGTAATTCCATGCCGACATCTTATCCTACGTACTACGAGCCTGACGTAAGTGCTGGTTATTCCCCTGCAGCAGTAGAAACTGGTAAACCTCTTTTTGTCAGCGCAAGGCTACACGAAGAYGACGAAATTCAAATGAAACAAAAGCCCCCTTCCGCATCACCTAGTTACGACATACCAGTGGCTGAAAAGGTCAGCCCTCCAGAGGTTGAATCYAATGTGGAGTCGGAGCCACATGACTTTAAGGCTCAACAAAGGTTGTGGGAGTACAAAACTACTCAAATTCACGAAGAACCTGTTCCTCCWCAGCCAGACGTGGTTAAGAATGACGTAAAGCAACCAGAAGAAGTTCATAAGTACGTTATCGATCCAGAACCTGTTAGGCAAAGACAGGAAGAACCACCCAAACCACATCGTCCTCAGGTGTTTGCCATTGTTGGAACCGCTCATCCCGTGCGACCATCCCCTACTGAATCTGTAAAGCAAGTATCACCAAACCTTGCCCAAGTAAGTCCTAAGGAGCCTTCYCCTCAAATAACGAAGCAGGCGGAGCCGAGGCCTCARGACTTGAAACCGAAGCTATTACGATCTCCATCTGGGGCAAAAGTGTTTGACTTTAGCCAAGAAAACGACGAGCATACACCAGTTGAAGACAGAGCCCCTGCACAAAAATTGGCCCCAGTCAAGAYAGAAGACAATACAGTTGTTGTTGAAACGGTAACAGTAGTCGAGAAGGGACCAAGTCTTGACGATGAYATTTTTCAATCCTTTAACGAAGAAGAAGAGAARATGAAGCGAAATCTTCAAGATCCAGTTTATCGAGAGAAGCTTAGAAAGGAAGTCGAAGAAGAGAACCGAAAGCAACGGGAAGAAACACGATACTTAACAAATCTTCAAATGGGACAACCYCTTGGACCAAATGAAGACAACTTCATCCATGAAGAAGAAGAGAGACTCAGACAAGAAAAACTGGAGTCAATCTCTCCGAAAAAWGATATATACGATTACAATGCCAACCGAAAAGATTACCCAATCATAGAGAAACRGATCAATGGTTTGCAACACTCTCCTAAAGAGAAAGAAATTCCGCTTTACCCAGTACAGAGGGAGAATGAGCCTGGTGAATACGATCGGCGTTATGAAAATGAGAGAGGTGGGCAGTTGCCGCAYCAAAGATCTGGGGAAGATCGAARTCGAAATGAATATCAAGAAAGTCGAGGCCGTTCACCTCACCGTCCTTCAAGCAGAGAGCGAGAACGTCATGAAAATGAACGTAGAAAATCACCRCGCAGGTATTCGAGCTCAGAGAGGGAACGATACGAGCAAGATCGAAGAGGGCGATCTCCACACCGACGTCAAAGCCCAGGGCAAGAGCGTCAAGATCAGGAACGGAGAAACAGGTATCCGAGTTCAGAAAGAGATCGTTACGAACGAGACCAAAGTGGGCCACYTCGTARGTATCCGAGCTCAGAACGAGATCGYTACGAGCATGACCGAAGAGGACGATCACCACACAGAAATAGGGATGAATATTATCGCGAAAACGAACGACGAGGTCGTGACCCCAGAGATCCTCAGGAAAGACGGCGTGAGCAAGAATACGGTGAAAGGGACCGTTATAAAAATGAACGAAGAGACGCAGAACGACGCAGAGAYTCTGAACGGAGGGACGCGGAACGCAGGGAAGCAGAACGTATACAACATGAGCGCAGGGAAGTAGAGCGAATAGAAGCCGAGCGCAAAGAGCATGAGCGAAGAGAAGCGGAACGCCGAGAAGCAGAACGAATAGAAGCCGAACGCAGAGAACAAGAACGAATGGAGGCAGAACTCAGGGAACGTGAACGAAGAGAAGCAGAACGGCGGGAAGCAGAACGAATAGAAGCCGAACGTAGAGAACTTGAGCGAATTGAAGCCGAACGCAGAGAACAAGAACGAATAGAGGCCGAACGCAGAGAACTTGAGCGAAGAGAAGCCGAACGTAGAGAATATGAGCGAAGAGAAGCCGAACGTAGAGAGCAAGAACGAATAGAAGCCGAACGTAGAGAATATGAGCGTCGTGAACAAGAGCGAATGGAAAAAGAAAGACTTGAACGTCTCGAACGAGAGCGAATCGAAAAAGAACGCAGGGAACAAGAAAGAATTGCAATAGAACAAGAAAGACTCGAACGAGAACGGCGGGAGCGTGAAGAGCAGCTTGAAAGAGAGAGACTAGAAAAGGAACGCATGGAACAGGAGCGAATGCGAGTTGAACAAATAGAGAGGGAACGAATCGAGCAGGAAAGAATTGAAAGAGAGAGACGCGAGCAAGAACGAATACAACGAGAAAGGATCGAACACGAAAGACGTGAACAAGAAAAGATTGAATGGGAACGACTTGAACAAGAGAGAATAGAAAGGGAGCGCTACGAACAACAAGATGAACGTAGAAGACGAGGCCACGAACAAGACAGATATGAACGTGATAGATACGATCGTGAAAKGCAAGAATGGGAAAGACGTGATGCACACCATAGAGGTCGTCCTTCTAGTGATTATCATGATGATCGAAGAAAAGATCGTAGGGAACAAGAGAGATATGAACAAGAACGTAGAGAGCAAGAACGACGTGAAAGACATCGCAGAGAACAAGAACAACTCGGTGCKGAAGAGAGAGAAAGACATCGGCAAGARCAACAGCAGCGCGTTCATGAAATGATAGCCAATCAACGTCAAGAAGAAATAGAGCAAGACCAATACAAAGAAATGCTTTCCAAAGAACAGCAATATTTGTACGGTGCAAGTGAAAAAAGACGCAATAGTGAAGATGATGGTATGTGGAAAAAGATAGAAGACGGTTCTGGGTATGACATCTATTCTACTTTCATTGAAGACGAGCGAAGCCCAATAGTTTGTACCAGCTGTGGTATGTCTATCGTCAGAGATCGAGCCATGTATGTCAGAGAATTAAACCAATACTGGCATGAGACGTGCTTTCGATGTGTGGTATGTCATGTCATATTTGGATCGCGCGAACAACGAAGTCCTCTAAAAGTCACTGATTCTTTACTGCATTGTGAAAATTGTTTTATTACAAACGAAGGTAAGCAGTTCTGATACATGAAATTGTTTTTTTTATGGTATTATCCCGTTACTTGATTCTTAAAAACATTCTGAGTAAATTYTTTGAGCGATATCTTTTACGCTGTGTTAGCTTCAAACCATGTAATATTATCTATTTATTCACTAATTGACTATTAAAATTCCRGTACAAACGGGAATAGTCTCGTTCATAGGATAGAAACTATTGGATATAGCCAAGAAATTTACACATAGATTTGAGGTTAAGCCCCCTTGCTTTGAACTTTTGAGAATGGTCAATAGGCCGTGCAAGAATGCAAGAGATCTATGAWTGTAGCAGAYAATGAATATAGAAAATTCCACGGAGATCTCACGAGTTTTATCAAAATTTCTAAAAATCTAAATTTTACACTCAATATTGAGGCTAACAGTGTAAAAGAGATCACGAAACGAATTCACTTATCTGACCGCGATATATCATGGGATAGCTACTGCTTCATTTTGTGATTGACATGGAAACTTCCGTGATCGCTCGTGATCAGATTTAGGGTTTTTCATCAGATTAAGGKTTTTTTTTATTGAATTGCTGTTTATATTCCTGTCTGCATAACTAATACGATATTACGTTTGTTTATAGGAGACAAGTGTACTGAAGTGTGATCCAAAGCACGATCAAGTAACACTATCATTTCGATGAGGAAAATACTTTTTTATATTGAAAAKAAAACGTGTCATCGCATGAAGACAGTCAATCTCTGTCAAATTATGAATTTTAACATTAACGTGTAATTTACATTGTAAAATATAATGCATCATCAGATGACATCCAAGCAACATMCTGGTTCGCATGTATTCAATCTTCCAAAACTCCTTAWTGTTGGAACTATGAATGAAATTAAGGAATAATTTAAGGCCTGAAAAGTCCASCTCTTTTGATTTATAAAAATCCATTGCTTTAGCCAAAAGACTATTTGTATCTTTATATGTTATACCAATGTTACTTAAAGTTTCACTATAGTCAGGGTTCTACATGACGATGGGATTGCATCCTGACTGTATAGTTCAATCATTGCATAAAACCGTCATGACTCGTGTTTTTAGCTTGAAGCTAGTACATAAAGGCTGCATTCACACGTATCCGGATGCGTGTCTTCGAATATTTTCGCTATCCAGATACGTTCATAGTTTTCTGTGGTTTCATAGTGTAAACGACAAGTCATGTAATATAATTTTATACTTGGAAGATTGTATTTTTAAAGCAACAGACTCAGTCGATTGTACTTTTAGACGATACTTATGCGATATTTTAACCGTGTCATGTAAACAATACTGCACCAAACAAATTAAACAATTTAAAGTAGTTTTTTTCCACTTCATTCAATGATTCCCAAACAACCCTTTGATGGTAATGTTAATGTCTTATCGGCGACCAGAAGTACATAACCACTTCTGGTTATGTACTTCTGCGGCGACTTATCTTGCCTTCAAGGCTGCCAGAGGCAAAAATTAGACGTCATCCACACGGTAACGGAAAATTTGCATCTTTTGTTACTCATTGTCGTATGAACGCAAAAATATATTCCCGGCATCACGTTAAAAATAGTTGCGCGTGGACCTGTAGTGTTGGCACTGTGTTAAGTTAAGGGTTGCCGAAAACATGCTGCCTCGCTTTAGCTTTAACCACGAAAAGGGAAAATGTCAGATTTCATTGGACTATTTCTTAGATTCGGGGTCTTTTTTCAAATTTAGTGGAACTCTTGTGAATGCTAGTTATTAATGAAAAAAAGCGTATTCTTTTCTTCTACCCGCTATATTTTGAAGACTAAGATTGTCTTTTATGTCCTCCTAGTAATGGGCTCCTGCCTCAGTGTATCAGTTCCAACCCGTTAGAAGTTGCCTTGTTTCGCCTTTGATTAATAAATTGATTAATARCCACGCGGGAGATATCCTTTCAAAAAGAAATTATTCAAATTTGATCGAAGGTAACACCAATATCGCGGTATCGTTTGGGGTAACGAGAATGGTAACAGGTTGATGACGGTGTCAAGTACATCAGACGATCCCATGCTGAAASGATCAGCTGAACGTAAAAACAAACTACATTTAAAAAAATATCGTATCGTGTTTATTGCATGATTTTCAAAGTAAAGTAACAAAGCAAACGAGAAACCTTTTGAAGGAGACAAAACAGACACTTGGAGTTTCTTATTGAGAAACTACTCGCTAGACAAGGGGCACTAACTACGGAAACAAAAAGACACATTAAGCATAACCAATGCCAATATCCATACAACAATTAAAAATCTTGAAACTACGTCTTGAAGTTTTCTGCCTATATWTTCATGTTGAATTAGGATTGCTACCYTGTGTTGTCCCTYGCTASAWAACAAGTGWATCTGGTAATCATAAGATCGTTGGCAGAGCCCCAATCCATCCAGCACGTAGTTGCTTTGATAATAATTCAGTTAGTTCGTTATATTTTGGTGAGTATGCAACGTTCGTGTTTTCCTTTGTGTCTAAATAGAGCTCTTTGSCATAAATGTTCGTCCAGTTTGCAGAAAAGTTTTYAAACTCAATCCATTCTGTGTAGCGATAGCCATCGGATGTTTGCATGGAATATCCCATAATAGTAATATCATGTTGGTTGAGAGGACATGTATTCATGGCTGGTTKGACGGAAGGTCTATAAACCATKAAAAAACTGTAAGTWTCCTTATTTTATCGTCCACGATACAACAGGATGGCGATAGTTAAAGYSCGCGAGAACGTCTATACGCATGCGCGTATTTGYGTAAATCAMGGTACGCCTCTGTGGTTTCCTTATGCTATTCGTTTGAACATACCTTGGATACTGACTAAAAACTGCTTTCTTCCATGACTTCGTCGGGTSTTTTATAASTGGATAGAAACTCAACCCTTCTGTACACRTGACAACATTACTTGACTCTCTGGGACATCGCTCTAAATACAAACGAAACTTGTTGCCATTACTATAACAAATATTAAATCTCTTGATTTTTATTACTATAATCTTCGCGACTCCCGAGACGCTAGCCATCTTTTACAAGTTTAGTCCCCGGGATCAGGGAAATTTCCYCCATCGTTACGCTTGACATCGCTGTTATCACTGTTTGTTGTGTCAGTGCGATGGGAGTTGTCGAGTTATAGTCATTCATATAAAACGTCGGCAGACATACCTACTTTCTCTAGTCCACAAATATCAGCCAAAGAAGGCATTAAGTCAACTAACTCCACAAGTCCACTAGATTTCGTAGCGCGTTTCTTGTCCGTTAGATTAGGCACGTGAACTATTAACGGCACGTTCGTCGCAACACGGAAATTGCTATACTTGCACCATTCATCATGCTCGCCCAGAGCCCAACCTTACAAATATGATATTGGCATTAGCAAAGCCGTATGGTATAACTAAATAGTCAGACTGAAATGCCTGGAAATAACACCTTTGTTGGAAGTATTTTCCAAAAACAATATGGTTTCTAATATTTGTGGCCGTTATGATCTTAGTGGTCATTACGAAAATAAAGCAATATTGATRTAATGTGACTCAATGAAAAGCAGTRTGCACTTTCCTWTCTTTCGTATTTAACAATACACAAAAAACTTTCTAAAAATTCCCAGAGATAATCTGTTTTCGCTTGCAGACGAGGAATGGTCCTTAAAACAGCTTAGAAGTGGGGTCCCTTGGATAGCCTGCATACGATCTACTTACCATGATCCCCTGTTACTACTATAACGGTGTTTTCTTTCAAACCATAGGTTTCAATCCCTTGAAGAAGATCCCCTATAAGGCTGTCAATGTACGATGTAGAAGCATAGTAGCCTTGTCGTATCTTTTTAGCGTACAATGWYGGCATTGGMCCGTAAGGGAAGCTRAGATTTAACGCTGCTATATCGTCCCGCCATCTCAGGTCTGTCCACGGCTCATACGCTACAGACGGGAGGTTTAGAGGCAAAAACGGATCCCGAGCGATAGGGATRGTAGTCAATGGATATAATTTAAGGAACTCTTTAGGAAATCTCAGTGGAATGTGCGGCTTGTAAAAACCAACTGCAAGAAAGAAGGGCTTTTTTTCCTCTTGAGAAGAGAAACTTTTGAGAAGTTGAAGTGCAAAATGTGTGTTTTGAATATCTGGRAGGGTYCCTTCTGGTTGCCTGGAGACATCTACTGGACAGTATATATTAGTATGTAAGGAACCATCGCGAGTAGGGCAAACCTGGAAAAGATACTTCTTGATTAATACAGTTCGATAGGTACGAGAGTATCTAACCTGTTAACTTCAGGGCTAACTCATCTGGAGGATTTACAGTGAAGCATAGTATTTACCATCCCAATTATTTTCATTGATCGGACGAATACATGCGTGGTGTTTATATCTTAAGACATATATAGGGCATATAAGCTCAAACATATAAAATCCAAACGCAAAATGGTCAAAACCAGACGATATGTCAGGTTACAGACTAATAAAATTTGACTCTGGAAAAAAATCGTTTTTGGTATTAAAAACATTACCTTCGTATTGGAGTATTTGAGTGTTGAAGGGATGAATGGAGGTAGTGACCAGCTATAGGGGTAGTCATACGTTCCATTCGACACTTGACCTGAAAAAAAAAAAAAATAAATAAAAAAAAATAAATAAATAAAAGATAAATAAAATACACTAAATACGAACCCACTTCTCAGTACAACGATACGCCTSACACGCAGGCCACAACGAACGTCAAAGTTTTAGAACCAAAGTGCAGCATTCATCTCCCAGTACTTACCACTATGGAAGACTTTCCCGACAGATGCAGTTATATATCCCGATTGTTTGAAATATTGTGGAAGGGTAGTGAAATTCCTCTTGTCACGCCAGTAAAATGCCCCTTTATTAGCATATATCTTAGTAGTATCTGGTCTTCTACTGGTCAGAAATGAAGTGCGACTCGGGGCACAGAGAGCTTGTTGAGCAGCAGCCGTCGAGAATAACATGGAACGATTTGCTAGTTCATCTAGATGTGGAGTTTTAGCTATCTTGTCGTCATAACAGTCGAGAGCTGGACGAAGGTCATCAGCTATGATCAATAAGACATTCTTTTTGGCTTCTGACGTCGCAACGATTAGAAATGGAAGAAAGCGGTAAATAATACTCTTCACTGTACGCATTTCGTTTCTTTTGAATAACTGTTTTTCAGTTAATTCATGGCTTCAACAAAACTAAATACTTAGGACAGAGTAGGACTGAGCAAGAGAAGTCAAACCACAGGGTGACCAGGACATGATGTGCAAAACAAAAAACTGAGACATTGTTTTAAATTATAATACTTTTATTCTGAACTTTCCTTGGAAAGCTTATCTTGCCTAAATCACCAGGACTCAATAACAATCACGCATTGTGTATACAGCAGTGATAATGCTTTGAATTTTGGGAATTACTTCTTACACTACTACAATTTCTTGTTGAATGGTGTTGGTGTCTTCCTCGTCTGAAAGTAATCCTTTGTTAGAATGCACTTTATTCCCAGAAAATTTGTTTTCCTAATTTCCCCCTTTACACAATGATTCTCCCGATAATAGTAGTTGATTTGAACTGCTAATTTCACTAGTAACTACAGTTTCTTGTACTTCTTCATCATTCCCTAATTTGTTTTTGTCTTGTTTCCCCTCACACATCGATCCATCTCCTGAATTTTGCTGATAACTGGAAAAACTCCTTTCACTGGTTTCAAAATTGAGATTATCAATGTTACTGTTATTTGAAAAGTTTGGTAATTTTTGTGTTTCATCATCATCCTCTAATGAATCTTCGGAAGAAGGATGAGAGACTTGATGAGGTTCACAATCTTTCTCATAACAAATTGTATTTTTGCTAACATTCTCATCTTTCAGCTTTGTATGCTTGTCAGTGTCTCTCTTGTTAATGTCAGACAATGTAATATCCAAAGAGCTGTCATCTAAAGGCTCAGTGAAGGCAACTGATCCTAGACTATGGTAAAAGCCAWCCTTTTCTTTCTTATCATTCATTGAACAAAGAAGAACTTCACTAAAACACTCAACACCAAGTTCGCAATCAATCCATGATGAATATGTATCTGGTGGGATCTTTTTCAGCTTCTTTTTCTTTTTCTTCAATGGTATTCTAGACATTTTCATGAGTGTTAAGTGAGGAATGATTGGGGAGCTGTCATCAAAGACCAGGGCAAGTTCACTTGATTGGAATCCATTCTTGATGACCTGAGCTAGTTGTTGCAGCATAGACACTTCACCTTCATCATTCATTTTTCCAAACACAACTTCATTTCTAAAATTTCCAAGTCCATGAAATGTCATAGTAAGAACATTTTGATTACTAACTATCTTTTTCAATTCATTCTGACAGCTATGTAGTACATCAATAGCTTTTGGTAATTGTTCTTTTTCTAAGTGCATGACCAACAATGTAATATGAAGGGTACTAACAGGAATCAAAGCTGGTTGAAATAGGGGTTCTTTGGCAATAATACTGTCCTGAATAACTTTAAAGGCAGAGTGGATGGCTGGGTTAGACACTCGTACGGCAATAAAGTAATTTGGCCTTGGTTTCTTGGGGAGTTTTGCATCATCATCTACATTATCAGTTTTAGCATTTTTCTTTTTTCTCTTTTGTTTGATTTTTGATTGATTTTGTTTCTCTGCTTTGCCATCTTGGTCACTTGCCATTATTTCATCTTCTTCACTTTCATCTTCTTTTTCCCTATTTTTTCTTTTTCTTTTTCTCTTTCTTTTTGGCTTAGCTTTCTCCTCAATATCACTGGAATTATTTCTATTTTGATAGATTGGGCATCCTGTGTAATATGAGCCAGTGATGACTAATACAGCGGTTTTCCCCACGAAGGCTGAATCATCAAAACAAGATGGCGGACGAGACAGAAATTTTTATCGAATGTTCTTTGAGAGAGGTAAAAACGTGCTTTTGATAACATATTCTGACTGAAATGTATTTTTGAGAACTATGACAAGAGGTGAAAATAATCAGATTATTGCAAATNCTGGAATGCTGCTAATATTCGAGGCTTCATTGCCCTGTCCGTCAATCGTCCGAGGTTCTTTATCATGACCATCATTTATATTGCAAGGAATGCCAACATAATCAGTGGCAAAAGACTGGCTTTTCTCTTGCATGTGAGAGAAACATTGTAGACCTTCATGAAACATGGACTCAAGTCCCAAATCACTATCACTATCCATCCTTCTCGCCTTTACACGAGGATACGTTTGAAACACAATATTTCTTGGATTAAGATTCTTTTCTAAAGTAATCAAACCAAATCTTCTGAAAACTGGAACAGAATTTTTAAGAAAACATATCCAAAACAACCTCGTCATACCTTTCCATGAGAGTTTCAGATTGGGCATCCTGTGTAATATGAGCCAGTGATGACTAATACAGCGGTTTTCCCCACGAAGGCTGAATCATCAAAACAAGATGGCGGACGAGACAGAAATTTTTATCGAATGTTCTTTGAGAGAGGTAAAAACGTGCTTTTGATAACATATTCTGACTGAAATGTATTTTTGAGAACTATGACAAGAGGTGAAAATAATCAGATTATTGCAAATTGAGTTATTCTTAAAATAACATATGTATTGAACTATGAAGTTGATAAGCTGCTAAAATTCAAAATTATCTGTTAACTCATTTGATCTTTTTTATATTTTCAGAAGTTAATTGGATATTCTAAGTCAAGTGAAAACACCAGTAAAGTACTTTTTCTCTATGGCAATGTTTATGGCACTTCAATCCATATAACCGGCTGTATAAATTCTACAATACTAAAAGTGTCTGTTGGTAGACAGTCGTTTGAGTGCGACTTCATCCCTAGAGGTACAGTGATGTTCTAGATATGAAGTACGTTCTTATGGTTAGAGGGGAATCAGGACCAGGAAGAATCAATATTTGTTATTCTCGTAAAATCATAGATAAGACCATAAATTGGCAAGAGTAAAAATGGTTCCCTTACAAAAACAGTGGGGGTACAATTTTACATTTTCCTGGATGCAGCAGTAATTTGTAGTACTTGTAAACTTGCTGTAAATATATGCTATCAGCTAGGGTATGATTTTGGATGCTGGCTTGTATTATGGAACATTGTCTTGACACAAAACTGGATCCGGGGTAATGGAATTCCAAGACCAATGTTGTGACCACCTTCTTTAATTAATCAATTAATTCATTTATATTTTCTTCATTAGGGATTCAGTTTCTTGGGATATGTTATTTTAATTCAAAATTTAAAGAGATAGATTTAATACCTGCAAAGGCCCTTCTAAAAGATTTATTGACAGAGGTAAGAAATCATTTTTTTATATTACTGCTGTGAATAGGGGATTGAGAAGAAAAAAAAGAACTGCTTAAACAGCCTGAAATCAGAGAAATATGAATGAAACCCAAACATGGTTTGTTCTATTGTCAATCCCATGGTGAATATCATGAAAACATAGTGAACAAGATGATTAAATTCCTTAATCATATCATTGCTGTTGTTTTGACAGAAACCAAATGAAAGAATTCATGAACAACTTTTGTTATGGCAACATTGTCTTGACACAAGCAATGATTATGGCATAGTGTATGACACAAGCAACTCTAAGCTTGCCGAGTGTCAATTGAACTTTGACAGTTACTTAGAAAGATTCTCACAACATTTACTGGCATTTAGAATACAAACTACTTTTGATGTCTGTGTGGAAAGTAAATTCAAAGGTAAGCTCAATTAATACTCTTTATAACCCAAATCAGACAGGTTCTTATGTGGTTCAGCTAATGATGACAAAAGTTTTTCTTGTTATTGTAACATCATCACCCTGAAGATGCACTACTAGAGTGAATGCTTGGGTTAATAAAGTCATTGTTTTTGGTATCGGAATCTGCAATTATGAGTTGAGATAACATTTCATTTTGTTCCAATAAAGCTCTTAATCACAAGATAAACAAGCTTGCTATAGAGCTGCAATCTGAATCCACAACATACCTTGTCAAAGACTTCAACATGTTTTTAAATTGTGAGGCAAGTAAAGATCAGATCGAGCAGTCTTGTACAGACCTGCTTGGTTTAGYGGATGATTCAAATGGTCTGGAAGCCTCTTCACCAGAAAATAGGAAAACAAAATCCAGGAAAAACACTTCAAAAAATAGCAACAAGACATCTGTAATTAAGGTACAAAGGAATCTGAGACTTTYTACTATCTATAATATCACACAAACAAGACAGCAAAAATAAACATAAAAARTARAACAAACAAACAGAGGCAAACGAAAGGAAAGTCTCAGTCATTAGTAGAAATTTATTCTTTGAATAAATGCTTATGCAAGCAACCACAAACAACAATTGCACTGTAGGTGTTTGTACAATTATGTACATTATATACCATCTTTGATAACTTGGTTTTTSAATAAATTCTTTGAAACTGTAGAGGTGAATTAGTGAAATAGGATTTCATCACTGCTGATGAATGACACATTTTCTTTTTCCAGGATGCAGTAGATGTTAAGATACTAACCAAAGTATCCATGTCACCAGCTACTTATAAAGACAACTCAATGACTCCTATCATTTGTTATGGAGAAGGTATAAACAACCAGGTGTTTGCTGTTTGCTTTATGTTTTGAATGAATGTCCTGTAACTTGTCTGTGTTCATCTGTTTCTTGTCCTTCCTTCTGTGGTAAAAAGATTTGCTTATTTTTTGTTTATCACATGGAGAAAAATGGGGTTGAGAAACAACTGAACATAGGTTGTGATAGACAGTTGTTGATAAAGTTAATTTATCATATCTAAATTGCAACCTTAATTATATTTTCAGAATGTGGTACTGATATTTCACTGAGTCTGCCTGTTGATGTTGTTGTTATGGTAACTAAAAGCACTAAAGTCAGTGAGCTGCCAAGATTATTCACCTCAGCAGTTTCTCAGCAGTTGAAGCAAATACAGAATGTTATCCAAGGATTCTCAAAGGTTAGTGTGATATTTGCATCATAGCACCAGTAGACTAATAAGTCTGCAGACTGTTATCTTTCAGTTGCCATACCAAAGCATGGAATCTTGTTTATATTCTTGTTCCACTTAATAAAGGCAGCTGTTTATTGTTACATTGTTGGGCTATTTTACTGGCTTGGTGATTCATTTATTGACTATCTGTATTCTCAAAATCTTTTCTCCATTTGTGTGTAAATTTGTAATTGTAGTTAACAGGCTATATAGATAGACCATCATAGAATCATAGAGATTGTAACAATGATTAATATTATTGTCCATCTATGCACTATAAACCCASACATTCATCAAACCCATGTGCTTTACTCAATTCAAACTAATACAAAAGCTTGAAAAATCTTGAAGACATAATGCTACACAAATTGATTGACACTTATTCTAGACAATGATTAAGCATTGTTTATGTTCCTAAAAGGATGACAATTGGTGCGTACCTAGACCATATCACTTCAAACTGCCAGGATCATCACACTATGTTACTATTCTTTATCCTGAGATTGATAGCCATGGACAAGGGATTGATGAGCAAACACTTGGTAAGTAACTATAGATACAGATGCTATTACTGGCTTCATCTCTATTCAAGTTTCTTTGTCTATATCGYTTTAAATTTATTATTTGACATTTGTTGTGTTTCTTTTAGAGTTGTACAGAACAGAGATTCACAAGCATTTCTTGTTGCCGCTTAACAAGCCTTTAATAAGAATTTGCAATCGATATACTTTTGAAAAAGACAGAAAACCAGGTAAACCAAAGGGAACCAAGTTTTCATGGTCACCCTGTGTTTTTTTTTTGCGGAAAGGCGCGCGCAAGGGACGCACGATAATTGCGACGTATGGTGTCATCATAATGACGTAACAATAGTAATGAAGYGCACTAGTTTTCTTTTGTATCAAGTAAACTTGGTTGCGTGCTAAATTGACAGGCTAACAAGCTGCATACCTTTTATTGTTTTCAGAGSTGTATCTCATCAACCCTCATGCTGGTATCTCATCCTCAGGACGTAAGTAGACGCTTGAAAAGGCTGTTATTAATGCGATTGGTGAAGTGACGGAAGTATGTGTAAAGACTTTTTTTTTTTTTTTTTTATGTGTAAAGACATTCTAGAGAAAAGCGCGAGAGAATGAGAAAACGCATCGGTTAAAAATGTGAAAAATAAGAAGAAAATAAGAGAAATAGCAAAAAAGAAAACCCAAGAAAGTTGTTTAGACAATATTTTCAGGGATAGAAAGAATAATTTACTGTGAAAACCTAAGATAACATCGTGCAGCTTCTTTTTTTTTTTTTGTCTCAACAACATCAAGTGAACTAATAAAAGAAAATGGTATAAGCGAACTATTCATTTGAAACTACAAGTGAATTTCACATGATTTTTGTAATGTTTTGACTCTGATCAAATATTGTTTCTTCATTTTTACGCTTTAACTTTGTATTGGTGTAGAATTGTTATCCGTATTCCACGGTTAAAGTGAGTTTCATTGTTAACCATTGTAGATATATAAACAATATATCCACCGTTGACATTTGTTTTTCAGTGTCGGGTGGTACGCTTGGTTTGGTTGATGGTCGCTACTCTTATCACCACTACATGCAAGACAACTTTAATGATGATGTAGGTGTACTAACAATGACAACCTAACTAACAACAACATCACCAATGATATAATCTATAATGACGTACTTGTTTTCAGACAACAATAACACCGTTTGACGCACATAGCTACTCAAATCGGTATTTCACTGTACCGTTTTACGCAGATAGCGAGCCAARTCGTTTTATTTCACCTGGATTTGTTAAAGGACCACTTGTATCCATGAGCCTTTGCGATCTTTTTTGTCTATCCAATGATCTCTTGTTTAAACTTGCTTTCTGATTGGTCCAAAATCTAAGATGGTGCAAATTTTCGTATGTGCAAAACAACAACACTAACAACAGCAACATGAACACAAAACTACTGATGACAAATTTTTATTTGTCAAGGGATCACGTGTATCCAAGAACCTTCGCGATCTTTATTCAATGATCTCTTGTTTTTAAACTAGCTTTTTTGATTGGTTCAAAATCTAAGATGATGCAAATTTTTGTATGTGCGAAAATCGCGCAAAGGTTCATGGGCCTTTAAGGCGTGAATCAGCTATTTCTTTTTTCTTGTAGAAATGGGGATGTGCTTACCGTTCACTACAAACTATCTTTTCTTGGTTTCGACATCAAGGCTATACGACTAAACCTGTCCCAAGCCACAAGCAAATACAACAAGCTTTGGTTGACGTTGGCGACAAGAAATCAAACTTTGTTGGCTCAAGGCAGTGGATAGGCTCTTTTGAAGTCAACCTCTGCTTGGAGCATTTGTTAGGCATAACTTCCAAAATCATGTTTGTGAGCTCAGGTGCTGAAATGAGCAGCAAAGGAAGAGAGTTGTTGTATCATTTCCAGACTCAAGGAACTCCGATAATGATTGGTAGGTTAACAGTGATCTTGAGAGAAAATCTTGAATTCSTGTTTAGGTGCCATCTAGATTCATAAACGTCTAAGTTTCACTCCCACTAAARTGATTGGTAGATCCTGAATTGAAAACTCATTTCAAGATCAATAAAATAAATAGAGCCTTTTTTTGTGAGTCCATGATTCCCTGTGTCTTGTTATGTAATTAGTGTGTGTTATTTATAATATTAAATAATGTGTGTTTATGTAGGCGGTGGTGTTCTTGCACATACCATAATAGGAGTAGACTACAACCAACAAACAGGAGACATCAAGTAAGTAGTACAGTTGGAAAAAAATCACGTAATAAATGCATGTATGTACGAACCCTGATTGACTGAATAGAATATAGCAATAACAGGATATTCACGAGTTATTCAGTGGTATTTTGTGTAAAGAATACATAAGAAGGGTGTTAATACTGAAGGTTTTTTTTCAGTTCACTCGCAATTYTGAAACGCTGCAAGTGCTGAAACGTTTGTGAGTTTTATGACTGTTTTCCTTCATTTCAGGTTCTTGATTTTGGATCCTCATTACACYGGCAGTGAAGACCTCAAGATTGTGCTAGACAAGGTTTGAAAATGAACTAACAAGAAAATKAACTATAGGCAATATGGGTCAATCAGACTTTTAGCCCGCGTCTCTCTTGGRATTCCTGTACATGCCTGAAGGCCGCGGGCTACTAGGACTAGGAAAGTTTTACAGAGTTAACGGAACCTATTCTGAGTGAAAGAATGAAAATAAGAAATGGCCTTACATATTTCTGGGGAAAATCTTCTTRGGAAGTTCAAACTACATCCTTTTCCGTAAATCGAAAAACTTTACGTGAACACCATCCTCGGGAAACCAGGAGTAACCTTCTGTCCTGTTAATTCTGGGAGTGATGAACGAACGACTAGCTCTATTGCCTGGGTTTTCGAGGATGCGTGAAYACTAACTTGCGAAAGTATGAATATGTCATGTCTAACAAATGGATATGTTTTTTTGTATTGCAGGGTTGGTGTGGTTGGAAGGGACCTGGATTTTGGGAMCAACAAGCTCACTACAATATGTGTATGCCTCAAAGACCCGATGTGATCTAAATTAGGTAAAACAGGGAATGAATGAAAAACTAACAACAAAAATAAACAAACAATAATGTAAAAAAATACATAAATTATAATAACTCAACTACAAAACCAAACCAAAGAAAAATAGCAAACAGGCAAGGAGCAGATAGAGAAAGATAAACTTAATGAGCAATGAAAAAATGAGCAATGAAAAAATGAAACGAAATAAACATTCAAATAATCATACAGAGACAAAGAAAAGAAGTGAAATCATGTTTAGAACACATCAAATGTAAGAGATATATGCTATCGGCTTAACAGTTATTTATTTAAAGATTAAAATCAAATAACTTCTAATTGACAATAAATCAAAACATAACAAGATGTTGATAAACTTTAGTGCGTTTATTCTTCGTACAACAATACTCTAATAATTTCACAGTTTTATCAGATCGATCACCATTATTTACAAAGTGATGAAGTCAGTTTCCGTTACCAACATATAAAGAAATATAGTCGGGTTGCATTTTATGCAATTTTGTGATATTATCGTGGTGTCGAATCACTTTACGTTGCGAAAACCCAACCTTCGTAAATTAAGTAACGATATTTTGTCTTTAGACTGAGCTCTCGGACTTGAGGGTTGAGTTTTGGTCACCTTAGGTTGAGTAACTAGCCCGCCTCATTTGTTGAATTATACCACAATTTCAATTTGCTGAAATTGACGACAACAAAATTTATTTTCCACCTATATTTTAATATTTTATTTAACAATTTCTATCAGGATCATTATATGATTTACATCATCGTGATTTTATTTCTGTTAYGTGCTAATACTATTTTCTTTTAAATTAAAACAATAAAAATTTCTTATCAGAGAAATTSTAAGAATTTCAAAGCAACTTATTTCTAAGAGTTTTAATTGGTGCCAGAGCGTTCATCTAGATTTTCAGTCCTGCCAGTGTGCTCATGTGGATCTCCGATGATCAASTTCGATTCAATAATTGTAACCAAAAGAGAATGAGCCTCATAGTTCTACCTTATTGTAACTGAATGTATAAGATAAAGTCTATTTTCTGAAAAGAAAGAAAAAATAGGAAAGATTATCGAGTGTTATAATTCTCTTTGACCTRCATCGTAGTTCGAGCAGGGGATGGGTGGGAATTGGACTTGTGGGATTGGTTGTCACTGCACGTGTGTGTACTTATAAAACCATTACCACAATGAAACTCGTATATTTCCTTATCAGTGCCTTGCCTRACCAACCTCCTGCTTTCAAGGCCAAGCAACCAACCCCTTTCCTAAATGCTTTTCAAAATACGTCACTACCACTGGCCTGTGTAGCTTTATAGTATTTTTAGACAACTAGACCTAAGTCTGACCATACTTGGGAATCATTCCACGCATTGATTAATCCAGGAGGATAAGCGAGTTAATGATGGGATTAAACCACAAAATGAGAGACAAATCCCAACATGTCTGACCTTTTTGTAAAGAAACGTTTGTCTTATGAATAGTTCCGGTTTAGCTTCGCAAGTAAAGYAAGTAAAGTGGTCATTCAGTAGCTACCATTACAAGTGCTTTTTTAGTGATACGGCATGGTTCTGTGCTATATGTGTATTTACGAGGCAGAGGCGAGTTTTTTTGTGTGTTTTCATTCTGTCTGAGTTTCTTCAACTGAAGAAAATACTTGGATACAACAATTACATAACCAACAATGAAGCATGTAAAATCAATCTGCCATTTTTGAACATTTTTTCAGTGTCAAATTACCGCTTGTTAGTACAGACAAGAAATGCGTGGTTTACCAGACGGGAGGAACAAACCGCTGTTATTGTGCCGCTATGACGCAAATGGTGACGTCAAAGGTCTATTAGAATACTTCAAGCTAAAGGGTCAAGTGTGCCGATAAAACAAAATCTACAGAAAGAACATTTTCAGCGAGGCTTAGATATTGCTTTAGAAGGTCAAAAATTGCAGTTTCTAAATCTGTTCCSTTCAGCAGGAAAATATTTTCTACTAAAAGTGAGATGTTTTAACCATTATATTATTGTAATTCCCATTAATGCGTTAAGAAATTCCATGATTTGCCAAATGGAACTACAATGAAATTATTTTGAAAATTAGCTCCTTTTTCCCACGTGAGGACTAAGTAACTGTTTTTCGATCAAATAAACGAATATTGTTAACAACTATAAGCCATTATGAGCTAATTGGTACTACTAAAACATCGTTAAACAATGCAAATAACTAATGCTGAAAAACACTGCAAAACAAGCTCATCGATATTGAATCGCGTGTCAGGATAGTCCGCCTCACAGGTCACGAGAATATAAAATACTGAGATAATCAAACAGACAATCTAACAGCACTGATTTTACGTTATACTAGTAGTATTATAAATGCATTAATGCAAGTCCGTGAGTATTATAAATAAGCATATTACAGATAATCTTTGCTAATTGTCGTGTAAATGGTCCTTGTTCATATTGAAGTAGTATCCGTTTCATTKGGTTTTAGAYGTAATATTTGTACAAAACAAGTCACGAAAACACCTATAGGCTACAATGACGAAAGTGGAGCGRCTGCATTTTGRAGTGACTGATTTGTCATTACTGAGCTGGAATTAAATATTGAGGACTTTCCGCGCAGAGCAAATGTCACAGCGTTCGCGCGCAACGTACGATATCTACAACATTCCGCGAAGCAAATCCAACTCTCGAATTTCTTTCAAGTCTAGTACTTATCATTCMAYATTGATGATTGCAGTATACCGATTTTAACTGGTCACTAATTTCCGATATTGTTACTTTGATAGTGATGAATACATATCAGTATTTACCTTGTCGGGGTGATCTCTGCAGGAATCATAAAGTCATATTCCCATGGCCATAATGACTGTCGTCGTTCAAGTCCTTGTTGCTTYAACACGCTCATTCCTTGTGTTTGTTGTATRTCTTCYACGATGTCATACATGTCAGATAGTGTTTTACCGTCAAAGTTTGCAAACAAATTGACAGACTCGTARTCGGGAGGCTGCATGAAGTAGTGCTTCAGCTCACCATCCTTGAGACATCGTTTCAGATTATCGAGAAGACCGAAAAAGCGCGCCGTTATTTTGTCCGTCGCCCATTCATTGGGATCTGGAATTGCATCCGATTCGTGAAAGAGAAGATGCATAAGATGAAAGGAAGACAAGGGCTTCAGCTCGTCCTCGGTGTCTCGTATCTCGGTTAAGATTCTCAGTAGCTGCATACGACATCCTGTAGTCCCGATAGCGCGCAATTTGTTTTTCTCACCAACATAGAAGGACATTGTCCACATGAGTTCATTTACATGGTGTGCCTTGCAGACGATATGAGATGAAGAAGGACAATTCTTTCGCCATGAAAACTTGCGATAGTCAGAATTGACAAACGCAGGCAAGACATCGATTGAGATGTCTCGATTAACAGTTAGTTTRATAACAGGACCTGGTTCTAGTTGGATGCTTGTGAGGCCTTTAGGAAGTTTGTCTCGTTTMCCTTCTTTAATGTGTATGTTTAACATGGCGACTGCTTTCTTGATGTACTTGCGAAGTAGCGAGTTGACTTTCGATGCTAAGATAAAGCCGTTATTTGTTTGACAATCATCCCACACTTTGACACTCGTGGAAGTCGGTTGAATCCGTACTCCACCAGTCCCAGGGTCTCGTGCTATGTACAAAGCAGTGGTTGGTCCAAATGATAACTGAACCAACATATCCATTCTGATAGGTTCTTCGGCCTGAAGTCCATCGAAAGGTATTCCTTGTGATACCAAACTGTTTGCACGAAAACGATTGTCCACTGCTTCAATTTTGCGCAGGCATTTRTGAACAGCATTGTATGCAATCTCCTCACAAATTTCTTTACGCTCCAGGCTCACTCTCGCACGGTTTTCGTGAAAGTCATAGAGCTGGATYGCTATAGGGTCCAGAGGTACTTGAGGCTTCGTGATTGTACTTCGTCTGCGGTCTGGTGTTTCGGGAATTTGAAAAGTCCACTTGGTACTGAGATTGTCATCATTGAACGAGTCATCGGACAGAGAGGCATCATCTTTGTCGTTGATCTGATCATCGTTTGGATTGTGATTGTTATTGGTGTCCTCAGTGACTAAACTAGTCGTCACATCAGGCACCGCGTCAGGACCACTGTTATCTGGGTAAAAGTTTTCAAAATTCATATCGAAACATCTGCCTGATCGCTTTCCTGACATTTSGAACACAATCTGTCACCCAAACTTGGAATAAAAAATTATTTCTTGGACTTGCAAACTGTTCCGTTAATCCGAAGTGTAAAGAGAAGAGTAACAACACGAACTAGCCGACCACCAACAGCTCTAACTAACCACTCACGAATTCTTCAAACTACCTCAAACTCTAATGCCGTGAAATGTTTATATAGATGAGAGCAAGACTGACGAGCAGCAATCCAGATGGTCTCGATAACGTCAAGTCTCCTTAGYAAATTCCTTGTTCTTCGACCCGTTAAATATAGTCATATTTGGAACAGTTGATCAAATCAGTCAATGAGCAAAACCCATGGAATGGGGGCGGAGCAGGGCTAAGTATGGTTTGYGGTTGTCTTGGTAACAGTGAAAGCYAATATACCTCTCCCTTTTATTTATTGTTATTTTATAAGGTTGACATATCACTCTGAATAGCGACGGACTAGAACAAAGGTCTGTTTATTCAAGTAAGCCAGTCTCCCGCAAAAGTTCACTCTAACAAAGTCAATATTTCTTGCATGTAACTCGGTGTGTGTGCAGGAATACTTAGTTTTTGTGATCATTTTGATGAAAATTAATGGTAAATTAATCCTCTTAATTGGTTAGCAAAAGTGCTAAAGATGAAGTACTACAGCGTAGCTATTAAAATCGTAATACAAAAGTCATTTGGAGT